TCTGATACCTTTAATCTGAAAAATAATTCAAGCAAGACGATAACCAGGCGCTCTGACTGAAGAATGTCATAATTATCTGGCATCAAGATTTGATTCTGAAAGTCAAACCTCTTGCATCAGGCTCTGAATCTGAAATATACTCAATCAAAAAGGGAAGTGTTTTCTTCTATTAGAGTATTTATTTCAGGGGGAGATTGTTAATCTCAGTGGGAGTTATAATTCATACTTTTTTATTGAACAAATTTTCTCATGTTTTGTCATCATCAAAAAGGGGGAGATTGTTAATCTCAGGGGGAGTTATAATTCATACTTTTTATTGAACAAAATTTCTCATGTTTTGTCATCATCAAAAAGGGGGAGATTGTAAGAATACAAATTGTTTCTTCAGTAATATCTCTATGTTTTGATGATAACACTTATGAATTTTGTATTCAAGAATTATATACTCTAAATTTGTTCTAGACTGTTTGCCACAGGTACTAAAGAGAATATTCTTAAAAGAGCAAATTTGGATCTGAACAATGATATTATGAAAGACTTCAAAGGTTCAAGAGCATCTTAAAGGAAGATCTGAACGCTGTCTCCAGAAGAATCTGAGTAATGTCTACTAAAGATTCTGAAGCAGAAGCCTCTAAAGAATAGAAGACTCTGAGAGTTCAAAAGCTTAGTCATCAGAAGACTCTGAAGATACTGCGCTTCATAGTATTGAGAATCTGATATAGAAGACTCTGCTCTGACAGAACTACACGCTCAAGCACACAAGCTGCATATACTCTGATTCAGCATAATCTGAAGAACATCCCAAGACTCTGAAGATCCAGAAGATCTCTACTCTGGAGATTTTGAAGATCCAGACTCTAATGTTGATAGCTGAACTTACTTAGTGAAGAAGATTTGAATATGTCTGTTGGCATATCTCAACAGCTCTTTCCTCTTTTATGATAGACACAGGAACACAGACAAAAAGGTTTTATCTGTGCATTCCATTCTAAGGAAAGATTCTGCAACGTGAAGACAAAAGGCACCAGGCTTTTTCAGCACAGTCTCCAACGTTGAGAAGACTTCATGGATCTAAGTGCCTATATAAAGAAGTCTACTTCATCTTCTTCAAGAGACCAACTTCTTGCTAAAATCACTTAGAAAAGCAAATCTCTCAAAAAGATCTTATATTCTATTTGGCTGTAACATTGTTCTTAAACTTAAGAGAAATATCACAGTTGTGATAATAGCTTCTTAGAAGCATTCTTACTCTTGTAATAGTTTTACATTGATTGTAAAAGGTTTCCTTAAGAGGATCTAGTTGGGATCAGTAGCTCTTGAGAAGACTAAGAACAGTTGTTCTTAGGTGTTACTATTGTAATCTGTTTGATTAAATAGTGGATTAAGTCCTTGACTGAGAAAGACAAATCACTCTTGAGAGGGTGGACTGGAGTAGTTGAGTTCAACGAACCAGGATAAAAATAACTGTGTTTGAATCTTTGATTATTTGTCATACTTATTCAACCCATTAGACACATATTTTGCTAATAAGAAATGAAACATCATCTACAATCACCAATTCTTCAAGAAGTAGCTTAATAAACTAGCTCCAAAAGTCTTTGGTTCATTCTCTCCAACCCCAAAAGCAATAGCCAAATACTGATCATGAAATAACAATCAACAATATTCCACCATATTTGATATTTAAATGACACCCATCTAAACCAATAAATGGTCTACATGCCAGTGTCAATGCCTTTTTGTCCCATCAAAACACATGTGACACCTTTCAAACCTTGGTTGCATGCTAGATCATGGACTACCAATGTTTAACTTGAATGTGTTTCTTGGTGAACCCCTCCTCAATTCAGCTCCATATGGCCATAACAAACTATATTTCTTACTTGAGTCCCCTTAAACAATTTATCTAACAAACTACCTAGCTTTGAAAGCCCTAACCACTAATCCCGGTTGCAAACCTCAACCTTACATATGACATCTCTTCATTTAATATCATCTTAGTATTATTCTTTAACTTGTCTATAATCATTTTAGCAACCTAACCAACCTTGACATTTTTATTGAAGAACTTTCTTCCATATTTGTGTTTGTGAAACAAAGTCTTAACCTTATATGTTGTGGTTCTTAAGACTCTGCTACATAGCATATTGTAGTTACAATGCATCTCGTGCTTACAAACAACCGTACATCTCTTGGCATTATTTTTGGAAAATCTAACCTACCTACCATTCAAAACATTGTACTCTAGTATAACCTTGATTGCTTCAGAAAGGAAAATTTCATTCCAACCTTGGATGTGAAACCTTTGTCATTTCTTCATCTTCATTAAACCTAATCATTACACGTCCTTCCTCATAACTATTTTCATCTGCTTCACCATTAAGTTCATCAGTCATGTAATCTTTTTATATGATATGTTCCTTATCCGTTCCTTATGTGGAAAAGCTACGCTTGGGTGGTTCACTTGTGGCAACATCATTAGCATCCTCCTTTTTAGGATCAGCTTAATCCAACCCAAAACTAAACCCTTCGTCAAAATTATGCATTCTCTCTTCTTCATTGTCTTCAAAGTGTATACCATTGATAGTTTCATCACTTGATTCACTACACTAGTCTACATCTTCAACACTTTGATGTCCCTTATTTTTCTCAATTAGCCTATCCATATATGTGAATTCACTTGTAGATGGTTTGTGCTTAGTATAAATTTCAACTTCACAATGATTCTTCTCAGCGAACAAAGATAACAATGATGAATCATCATCAGTTATAAAGGGTTTTAGATCTTGTCCAAACCACCACCTTCCTGTTTCCACCACATTTTCACACCATCAACATTAAACTTCAACTTCATCTCTTTAGTGAGGCCACTTGCTTCAAAAAAGGATCAGAAATCAGTGTCTTGTCCAATGTATGCACAAATATCCCCACCTTTATACTTTAACTTAGGTTATTTTATTATATTTTACTTTTTTTACAAATACCACCTTAAATAAGCCTATCTTCTTTACATTACACATCTGATAAGGGGAAATTTGGCAATAATTTCACATAACCAATATAACATCAATTTGGCATTAAAAATACATTAAACATAACATTAATATTTTACAAACCATAGTGTTATTTAGGTCAAATACAAACAACAATCAATGTTATTATATTTCGTTGACATACATGCAAAATTAGCGCTTATTTACATATCGAAAAAGAAACCATAAAACTATGTGACAAAGCATAAAGAAACCCTAAATGATTAGAAAAAGAAAGAAAAAGAAAGAGACATGCAAAACAAACCTATATGAAATGTGTGTGTTATATGTTTGCAATGGGACCACAACTTTCAATGCACAAACCTACTTTTAGGACTACACCAAAAGAAACTTCGAAATCTTCGTACACTGCTAAATAGGATACCTTTCAAACATTTAGCTTCGTACTAAAGCTAACTGACATTCGGAATGCAACCTTCATAATGGTGTTGTCAATGGAACCTTCACACTACCTTAATGGGGAGCAGAGAGAGAGAAGTTATCACAAATGTTTTGAAAAAAACTAAGGTTTCATAAAGAGACAATTAGAGAAATGATTTAAATATAAATGGAGTTTATAATGCAATAATGATAAATTAACGCAGTATATTCTACTATAGCATTCATTTAAACTATTAAATTTTAAATGTAAGCCATATGTTCTTTCATGTCAGACTCGATTAGAGACATTTAAAGTCAGAGATCAAATGCGTGGATGAAAAATATTTGAAGAACTATTCTTTAAATTTTTTTTTAAAACTAAAAGTAAAATTGTTAATATTTAGGAGTACCAAAACATATTTAATCTAAAATATATTACTTAGATTTCCATCTTTTTATTCTTTTTCTTTTATATTTAATTTAACTGTCATTATTTAAACCCCCCTTATTTCATCTCATTAAAAATTTTAAAAATATTTTTTTTTATGTCAAATAAATTACAAATAATTAGGAGTTTAGGACGGACTATAAACCGAATCAACTCAAAAATAGTTTGGAATTCAATTCCATAATTAAATGAGCTAAATATGGACGAAAAATTAAATTTGTTAATTAAATACGATAAATTTGAACTGTACATAGTTCAACTCGTTAGGTTTATGAGTCAACTCGATTATATATGAGTGATTATATTATCTTTAACAATAAATTTAAAGGTTTAATACAAATCTTAATCTTATATTGTTTCATCTGTACTAGTTATGGTAATAAAATTGACACTTGTATTTAGAGTCATCCTTTTTCAATTGTTAAAATAACATGCATAAAAAGCTTGCAAGTGGTGTAAATATTTTGCGATGAAAACGTATCAATTTCTAATAATTTTTAGTGTACTATTTCATTAAATTTGCAAGGTTCCTAAATATTTAGATTATGTTGTGAATTTTTGAGACAAAATTAAGTAGTTTTTCGGTTAGACTTTCAAATCTATTTCGTGTAATTTTTGAATTAATAAATTTTTGAGACAAAGTGTTAAATTTCAATCTAATAATTTTTTTTATTTTAATTTTTTTAAAAATAATATTAATTTACATTGTCAAATATATATAAAAAAATTTAATAAATTAATTTTTAAGTCTATGAAATAATTGAGTTAAATCTATAAAAATGAACCTAACAACTTAACTGAATTATTTATAAACTTAAAACAAGTTAAATTTAAAAAGTTGTCCCTACAAAATACAAACACTATAATTTTCAATTATCACTGCAAGAGCAGCCGAATATGGATATTAAAAACTAAGGGGCATTCGGAGAATCGAACTCCGGACCTCTCGCACCCAAAGCGAGAATCATACCACTAGACCAAATGCCCAATTTGTGTTAAAGTTGTTTTATATGAAATACTAAACTATGTTAGCTTAATCTTTATTACATTCAAACGAAACGACCCAAGTTCTTTCCTCAATCCTTCGCTCTATGGGTTTCACCCATACTCATTGCCTCACACAATCTCCTCCAACATCCATGAACTGTAACCATGCCACTCTCCTTTGTCTTTCTCTCCCACCACCACCACCACTGAGTTCAAATCGTGCCATTTTCCCAAAATGCCATTCTCCAATTCCCATATCCAAGAAAACTCTTTTCTGCAAACCGAAGCTGAAGAGAAAAACGATTCTCAGAATCAAAGCTTCTTCAACGGATGATAATGCTCAATCACCAAATTGGTCTAAGTGGATCCCCACAGGCTCTTTCGCTGCCGATAAAGTTTTCAGATTGATTTCCAGTGCTACCGCTAGTCCAATTGGACAGTTTGTATCTTCCCCCACCACCTTTCTTCACTCTATCGATCCACGAGTCAAATTGGTATGCCTTCCAAATTTCATGTCAAAGCTCTATGCTTTTGTTCACTCTTGTGCATTATTAGGTGTTTTACCATGATTGAATTGCCTAGCCTTTTAGTTTGAGAATTTAGGGTTTGCCATTTTTTGTGCAAAAAAATTAACTTTTGTTTATAATATCATCTATGCAGTATCCATGATAGTTTTACTGATAGTTAAGTTGTTGATACCTGATAGATATACTGCTTTTAGTGAAGGGCTCAACTATTAGTGGCAAGTTCTTATGATAAATTGTTAGGGAAATGTTAGCAATTGTTAGCCGATACAGTTATGTAGATGTTATATTTGAATAGTTTGTTTTGGCTTTATGGTTTACAGGGTTTTGTGGATTTTGGTGTTTAATCGGTCTGGTTTTACAGGTATGGCTTTTAGTTCTGGTTGTTCTACCGGCAAGGTCACATATAATTATGCGATTTGGATTAGTAGCTTACTTGACTTTGCTTTCAATTTGGATTCTACCAAGAAATGCTTGGATGGTAAGGGATTGTTAATCCTTGGTTTATCCTCTGAATCACTACCCCTAACTCGGAATTTGTTTACAGTTGTTTTTGTCTTGAAATGTTTGTGTTAATTTGGGAATTTTTTTTTGTCTAATTTCTATTTATAGGATCAATTGGGGCGAGTTTATTTTCTATCGGCATTGTTATTCATAACATTAGGGCTTGGTTCAGATGGCGTGCCTGCACTTGTTCAGCCGAGAACTCCACCACTTGCGGTGACGGGGATTCCTAATCTTCCTGTATCTTTAACAGGTTACTCATATGTAATCTCAAAGTTAGGTCCATTAACCTTTACAAGGAAAGGATTATCGGTAGGAAGCACAGTTGCATGTTTGACTTTTACAGTAAGATGCTTTCTACCTGCAACTTTTTATTTACTTGCATGTTTGAAGCTTTCTATAACTATATAATTTTTTTTTATGATTCTGACTTCTAAGAATTTGGTCCACGTTTCTTTGAAGGTATTTCAAAGTGCAAGTCTCTGTCTCACAACCACAACACCTGAACAACTAGCATCTGCTTTGCGATGGTTTATGCTTCCACTAAGATACATAGGCGTATCTGTATCAGAAATTGTGCTTACCCTTTTACTGTCATTGAGATTTATCAGTCTAGTTTTTGACGAGGTAAGAATTAAAGAGAGTTATGTGTCTAACATACATATAAATGTATGAATTTGGTTAACATAGTTTCGATCTCAGTTTGCTCTATAAAATTGTTCCAAAAGAAAAATGTGTGATTACAACGAAAATTAAAAAAAAATGATTTCATAGAGATCTTTTAGCTTCCATTTGTTTTTATGTCTGAGCACCGAAGAAATCTATTTTGGTTGTAATTAAATGATCATACAACAGTTTTACCTTTTTTTATTGATGACCATTTACAAAAATGAATGTCATGTTAACATTTTTTTATGTATTAGGGGTGTTCTAAAGGATCCAGTTAACTTGCTGTAATTCTGTCATATTGCAAGAAATTAGGATTTTGGATGATGCGGTATAGTTTATACAAATGATAATGAACTAGAAGAGAGAAGTATAACTGGTTTTATCTGTTAATAGGATGAGTACATGTAAACGGAGCTGTAAATGATAACTTACTGGTTTTTATAAGTCTGAGGTACATTGGAAGAAGATTAAGATAATATTTTGACTGATTAAGTTTTCATTTGCTACCGATCATATAATTAGATTCATCAAAAGGAATAAGTAACATAAATTTTTAGAAAAGACCAGATATTAACAATCTCCACAAATTGTGTTGACCCCCTTAGCCTAGATGTTACTTTAGGTAGAATTCATAATTTTAAGAGGAAGAGAAATTTAACATTCATGCAGCAACTTCAATCAATAGTTATAACCCCATTTATTGCTATTAGGCTTGAGTTTTTTATTTTGTTTTACTGTACTAATTTAATAGCTGAATTTTGTTGTAGGTCCGGAACATTGCTATGGGAATTGTATCTCGTAGGGTTAATTGGAAACAACTAACTGTTATGGAGACAATTGATAGTAAGTAAATATTGCTAGCCCTTCTGTTTCCAAGAATCATAAATTGTTGTTCTGTTTTCTAGTCACTTATCCGTGTTCCAACTTACTAGATAGATGATGGGTATCATCTCGATAATGGTTGTGTATAAATCTCATTTACATTCTATAACCTTCACATTTGATTGGGACAAACTATGTAGTCATTAGAAATCGATAAAAGAAAACACTTATCCTTACATTCCTGTTTGTGTTTTTCCATGATAAGATCAATTAAACCGGCTATTAACACTGTGCATTATTATATCTATTGATGGTGCAACATTTTCTTTTTCCACACATACATTTGTTGCATAATCTTACGCTGAATTAGTTTTACATGACATGCTACTGTAATCTTATATGGCATATCAGCATGATAATCAATGCCGATCTGATTCTGAACAAAATTACCAAAGACTTGAAAGTTTGTACTACTAATAGATACATTGTACCTCGTTTTAAAGGACCAGGAATTCCGAATTAATCAAGCTTTAACATGCAGGTTAATCATGATGTAATGTGGTAGGTAGTTTGGGTTGGAAAAGCCCGTTATAGAACCGAAACTTTTTAATATATTGAAAATTGAATTTCTAATAGACTTAATTATTTTACTTGATTGTATTTTTTTCCCTCTAATTTAATATTTTACTTTATATGAGTTTGCAGTTTTCTTTAACTATTTCCGTCGCATCTTCAAAAATATTTTCAGCCATGCAGAGCAAATTTCTCAGGTTTGTCATAAATCTACAAGTTTTTTCCTTCCCTTTCTGCTTATCATTGTGGCTTGAAGTGCATCAACTTTTATCATACTCTCAACTCATTTTAGAACTGCTGAATATTATGAAAAGTAAAATTGGTTAGAAGTTTGTCTGTGTTGATTGCTTAAATTGAACTGTACGTTGATTTCATCAATAGTGCCGAGTTCGAGAGAAAAATACTTTCATTCAATTAGCCATACATATTTTAAAACTCAATTTCCAGTGACATATAAGGCCTTTTATCACATACTCTGACATTTTGGTGCTAATTTGTTGTTTGCATCCATTCTCATCATGAATGAACACTTCATAGTTTATCTTCTGATAGTGCGACATAAAATACTGCAGGCTATGATAGCTAGAGGTTTCAAAGGGGATGTTGAAACTCACAAAATTTATTTTTTATCTGAATCATCTTTTGGGATGGCAGATATTGTAAGTTTATTGTGGTTGTCCGTTGTCATCGGAGCTGCTCTCCTGTCTGATTACTACCTTGTCTAATGACAGATATTCACCTCTTTTGGCACTGGTAAGAGCAATTTTGAGTTGACGCACGTGCACGTATGCTTGTATATAATTGTATGCTTGTATATAATTGTATGCTTGTCTTCTTTTCATTATTGAGTAACCTTGTAGGTACTGTATGCAGGTTCTTGACATGGTTTGTGATGAAAAGGCAACTTGGAAACTTTCTTCGAGAAGTGTCTGAATGGATTGCTTCAAAGTTGAAACCAAAAGTTTGGATTATTTGCTTTTAGAAGTCAGACAAGTCTGTATATCCACATAATTGTCGTATAATACACAATACATAGGAAGCAAGTGTGGATTACAGAGGGATATCGTAGAAGGTTCATAACAAGTATCCACATCCTTTTGATAAGGCATTACCTAGAGGAGGAGTTCATATTAATCTTAGTGATGAGCAGAGCTAAATGATATTGATGCCTGGAAACGTCACGACTGTCATAGTGGGTTTTGAACTCTTGTAACATTGCAAATAGTAGAGACATGAAAGCCATTTTGAGTTAATAAATACACGAGTTATTGTTCAAGTATATGACTTGTACAAATCAACACTATATGTTATTTGTACACATTTACAATTTGAGGATTGCCATTCTTACACAAAAAGTGTTACACCGTATTTACACCAAGCAAAATACAGCAAGCACATGCATTCAGTTGTATTGGAAAATTAATTGTTAAATGTAATAAAGAAACAAAACTGTATGAAAGTACGGTGTAGTGTCACATTTTTATATAAAAATATCATTCATCTTTAATTAATGAATCTATTGTTTTGGCTGCTTAAAATAAAGAGGAGTGATATGTTTACAACAAAATATTTACATTTAATGTGTACATCGTAGTTCCTAGCTTCATTTTTGTTCTGGACTGGGCTGACACATGGTCCACAGTAGAGCAGGCCCACTCCCACATCGGGTTGGAAGGTCCAATAAGACCTAAACTGCCTCCCCGTTGGGCAGAGACCTTTCTCCCGTCGGACATAACCTTTTCTCCTGTTGGGCGCGGGCCCTTGACAGTCGAGCAGACACCTCACGTCTGTCAGGCAAGCTCTCCCTTCTGCCCAACTGTCGGGCAGACCCTATCCAGTTCGGGGGCTCCTCTGACCTCTCCCACATTCTCAACGTGTCCCCTACGCGGAGATACATCATCTGGTAACTACCTGTGTCCTGATTATTCGGTCATCCACCTCTTGAATAACACAGTGCATTTACACTAGGGCGTAGACCATGTGCTGGTCTTCCTGACGCCACGTCAGCCCTAGCAGTTACCAGCATTGGACCTGACAACCCAGCCCAACGCGAAGTAACCGTTGGCTCTGCGCTAGGGGTACACTATAAATACCCTCTTTCACTAAAGGGTCAGATAATCTCATTCTTAATTCTCTTTCTGTACCTGTTATCACTCTGTCTGACTCTTACTTTGGCATCAGAGTGTGTTTCAGGTACACCCCCCATTCTCCCAGCAGTTAGACAACTCAGACGCGTGGTAGACCATTGACTACTTTTGATCAGGTGAGATCAGTGGCGCCATCTGTGGGAACTTCGAAGCTTCCCCGTTCTTCCGAGCAGTAGAACCAAAGATTTCATCAACTTCATCAGCTTCCGAGATCATGCCCAGCCTACGCTGTAACACCCCTTTTTAACTATTTAGTCCCCTTTGCGTTATTTTTTATGTTGGTGTGTCCTTACGGAGGTGTGTCTGAGTGGTGTTGGTGGATGCCTTTCGACTGTAAGAATTATTAATAACGATTGGAGTTTAATATTAATATAATATAATTAATAATTGATGATAATTTAATAATTATATTATTATTACTATTATTATTATTATTATTATTATTACTATTATTATTATTATTACTATTATTATTATTATTATTATTATTATTATTATTATTATTGGAGTAAATATAAAAGAGGGATTTTGGGAGAAAGAGGAAACACGTTAAAACTGCTCAGAACCAAAATCAAAGGAAAAAGAGATCGTGACCAAGAGAAGTTGAGAAGAGAAGAAGTAACCACCAGAGAGAATTCACGGTAGTTGCAGAAGAGTCGCCGGAGAGCTAACGGGAACCGGAAGCGTAGAGTTGACCTCAATTCCAAAGGTAAGGGTGGGGTTCAATTCTATAATTGTGGGCATGATCGATTTCATGTAGGGAATTGAATCATAGGGTTAATGTTCCCGTAGTAATATTCCCGTAGTAATATTCCCGTAGTGATGTTCCCGTAGTAATGTTCCCGTAGTAATATTCCCGTAGTGATGTTCCCGTAGTAATATTCCCGTAGTGATGTTCCCATAGTAACATTTCCGAAGTGATGTTCTCGTAGTAATGTTCCCGTAGGTTGAGCAATATTAAGGGTTAATGTTTGTCTACGCCTGGATTAGTGTTTATGTCATTAGTTCTATGTAGTAATGTTGGAAATTGGCGCCGACACGCGCTAATTTCCCATTTGTTGAGAAAAGGTCGTTATTAGGCTCTTACTTGATCGACTTCAGGTAGGGAATCGAATCATAGATATAGTTCCCGTGACTCGATAAATGTTAGGGACGAGGTTTTTCTGTGTAGGAATGAATGTGTTATATCGTCAGTGTTGTACGATGCTGTATGGTTGCCCTTAATGAGGCAAGATTAGTTGCCCCGTAGTTAACGAACCTTTTCAGGAACTATAATTAATTTAGTGAGTAAAAATTGTAATGTTGTTCTTACGATAATGTGCTGAATTCTTAATTGTCGAAAGTATTTTGTTATTGTTCCCCTACATGAACAAATTGAAATGATGAATGCTTGATGCATATGAAGTTGTTATGTCACTGTTGAGAAAATGTTATTATAATATTCTCCTTGGATTATGTGGGTAAGTTGTAGTTATATTACCCGTATGAAGGTATATGAAAATGTGTTGAGTTCTTATTTGTGGTAATGATGTTGTCAGTTGTTCTCTGACATGAAAATGCTGTTGAGTTCTCAATTGTAGATACGAGGTTGTTTTTAATTGTTCTCTGCGAAAATGTGTTAGAGTCTTATTCGTAGGAACGATACTGTTGGTAGTTCTCTGATATGAACAGATTGAAGTGGTGAGTACATGATGTATGCGAAATGTGATGTTTCTATTATGGATAATTGGTTGTAGGCGTGATGCCTTGTTGCACAATTGTTGTTGTTGTGTTATAGTCCATAATAGTTGCATCTCATAGCATATCATTTGGCCTGGATTGGCGACGGTTGTGTCTTTAATGACAAAATAAAATGATTGTGGAGAGTTGTCTCCCGAATTATTGTGGAGTGTTGTCTCCCGAATTATTGTGGAGAGTTGTCTCCCGAATTATTGTGGAGTGTTGTCTCCCAAAATGGTACCACATGCATATGCACAGTTGAGTTGCATTGTTGAGTCGCATTGTTGAGTTGCGTTGTTGAGTTGTTTTGATGAGTTGCTGAGATATGATGATAATTGTTGTGGTTATGAATAAAGGGTGGTTGTAGTTATTATTACTAATATTTATGCAAACTGCTGGAATTATAATGCTGTGATAATATTCTGACATGACTTTTATCATGCCTTATGTTATATTGTTGATATTTCACCCTTTACGTTGTATGTTACCTCCATTGGTGGTAACTTGCAGGTAACTCGGAATAAAGTGTCGCTTTATGTTTAAGGTCGTTGGTCGCTCTGATACGTAGCACTCTTGGGGGGATGAACGATTGATGTTATTGCTTTTATTTAATTTCCTTGTTGCTGAATTTTATCAAGTATTTTTCATTAAATGGGTGGCTGCTGTTAAGTGCCAAATGTTGGGTGGATGCACTATACCGAGGAATTAATAGTGCTGATTTTTATGGTTGAAACTCGTTGTTTATGTTGAATTGATGCAAGATAATTACTTGCTGAATTTTAATGAAGTTTTGTTGCAAGTTTCATGGCCTTGTTTTAATCATTCTAAATGTTGGAAATGTTTTATATTTCGCTGCAAATTAATAAGATGCCTTGTAATCAAAATGTTAATCAAGTTATTGTTGCATGTTCATCCAAGCTTCTGTGCTATGTATCATTACTAAATGCATGTTGTTTAATGGAATTGTGAAATGTATGTTTCTGTGAGTTGAAATTGTAACGCCCAGAATTTGCTGATGTGACGGTCGTCACAACTTCCTTACGATCGTCATGACCGTCACGGTCGTGACAGCCCCTTACGACCGTCATGTTTACAAAATTTGTTGCACTCTGATTCTGTTTTCCTTAATTATCCGTCGGGTTAGATTGGGGTGTTACATACGCCACGACGATGCTGTCCATAATTCCGCCTTCGGCCCGCTCATCATCGAAGAAGACCATGATGAGCCTATCGACAACCATGACGGCGACCTCAGGGATGGGCAGAATGCCTCTCCTTTGTCCGACGACGCGACATGCAACGTCACCCCTCGAGCAAGGAGCCCAACTATTTTCAACCCATCCCCACGCCAGCAGGAGCGGATCCGACGATGACTTCCCTCTTCGCAGCCATCAACCAGACTAATTTGATGTTGTTATAGCAGAACGAGCGTATCAGGATGCTAGAACAGGATAGTTCATCTCGCTCTCCCCCGCGGAGAACCCAACACGAGGATTCCCGGAGCCCCTCTCCCTGTCAATGAGGGCTTCGACCACAATTGGAGAGACCCCAAATCGTGGCCTCCAAGAAGCGCGACATATCACCTCCTCGGAAGGAGAGGCTCTCCCCGGCCCCGAGGAGGAACAGACCTGAGGGTCTGAGTAAGAGGGCGAAGGTTCGTAGTCAAGTACCTCAACACAACCATTCCCTTTCACGCTCTCCTGTCTGCAGCGACGAGGGCAACCACCGAACTCCCTTGTCGCGAGAAATCATGGAGACCTCCATCCCCCACGGGATGGAGAAGTCGCCCGCGCTCTCCCTCTACGACGGACCCAGACAACCATCTGGAAGACATCGAGGTCATGCTCGATTATCAGAAC